TTGACACTTGACAACAATGCAAGTGTCAAACAACGTGTCAAAAATTAGTGTACAAATAGCAAAATTCAATCGGTAAGAACCTTACTACATGTACACTATGGTGCACACTTTAGTTTACACTTTACCACTTGACATTACCCAATTCGACAGTTTAAATTTCAAACAGTTTTCACACCCAATTGACACTTGACAACAATGCAAGTGTCAAACAACGTGTCAAAAATCAGTGTACAAATAGCAAAGTTCAATCGGTAAGAACCTTGCTTCTTATGCACTATGGTGTACACTTTAGTTTATATTTTTCCACATGACATTACCGTATTGGACAGTTTAAATTTCAAACAGTTTTTCCATCCAATTGATACTTGACAACAATACAAGTGTCAAACAACGTGTCAAAAATCGGTGTACAAATAGCAAAGTTCAATCAGTAAAAACCTTGCTACATCTACACTATCGTGTACACTTTAGTTACACTTAGCCACGTCACATTACCCTGTTGGACAGCTTAAATTTCAAACAGTTTTGCCATCGAATTGACACTTGAAAATAATGTAAGTGTCAAACGATGGGTCAATAATCAGAGTACATATAGCTAAGTTCAATCGGTAAGGTACTTACAACATGTACACTATGGTGTACACTTTAATTTACACTTTACCACGTGACATTACCCAGTTGAGTAGTTTAAATTTCAAATAGTGTTGTCATCCAATTGACACTTGGCAACAATGCAAGTGTTAAACAATGTGTCAAAAATCCATGTACAAATAGCAAATTTCAATCTATAAGAACGTTGCGATATGTACACTATGGTGCACACTTTACTTTACACTTTTCCACGTGACATTACCCTATTGGACAGTTTAAATTTCAAATAGTTTTCCCACCCAATTGACATTTGACAACAATGCAAGTGTCAAATAACGTGTCAAAAATCAGTATACAAATAGCAAAGTTCAATCGGTAAGAACCTTGCAACATGTACACTATGGTGTACACTTTAGTTTACACTTTCCCACTTGACATGACCCTATTGAATAGTTTAAATTTCAAATAGTTTTCCCACCCAATTGACATTGACAACAATGTAAGTGTCAAACAACGTAACAAAAATCAGTGTACAAATATCAAAGTTCAATCGGTAAGAGCCTTGCAACATGTACACTATGGTGTACACTTTAGTTTACACTTTCCCACTTGACATGACCCTGTTGGACAGACTAAATTTCAAATAGTTTTCCCAATCAATTGACACTTAACAACAATGCACGTGTCAAACAATGTGTTAAAAATCAGTGTACAAATAGCATAGTTCAATTGGTAAGAATTTTGCAACATGTACACTATAGTCTACACTTTAGTTTACACTTTCCCACTTAACATGACCCTGTTGGACAGTTTAAATTTCAAACAATTTTCCCACCCAATTAACACTTGACAACAATGCAAGTGTCAAACAACTCGTCAAAAATTAGAGAACAAATAGCAAAATTCAATCGGCAATAACCATGTTACATGTACACTATGTTATACACACTTTAGTTTACACATTGCCATGTGACATTACACTGTTGGACAGTTTAAATTTCAAACTATTTTCCTATCCAATTGACACTTAACAACAATGCAAGTATCGAACAACGTGTCAAAAATCAGTTTATAAATTGTAAAGTTCTATCAGTTAGAAATGTAAGTCTCAAACAACGTGTCAAAAATCAGTTTATAAATTGTAAAGTTCTATCAGTTAGAAATGTAAGTCTCAAACAACGTGTCAAAAATCAGTGTACAAGTAGCAAAGTTCAATCGGTATGAACCGTGCTAAATGTACACTATAGTGTACACTTTAGCTTAAATTTGACACCTGACATTACCCTATTGGACAGTTTAAATTTCAAACAATTTTCCCATCCAATCGACACATGACAACAATGCAAGTGTCAAACGTGTTAAAAACCAGTGTACAAATAGCAAAGTTCTATCAGTAAGAACCTTGCTGCATGTACACTGTGGTGTATACTTTGGTTTACACTTTGCCACGTGACTTTACCCTGTTAGACAGTTTAAATGTCAAACTATTTTCCCATCCAAATGACACTTGACAACAATGCAATTATAGAACAATAGCAAAGTTCAATCGGTCAAAACCTTGCAACATGCACACTATGGTGTACTCTTTAGTTTACACTTTGTCACATGACAATACCCTATTGGATAGTTTAAAGTTCAAATAGTTTTTCCATCCATTTGACACTTGACAACAATGCAAGTGTCAAACAACGTGTCAAAAACCAATGTACACACTTTTGTTTGCACTTTGCCATGTGACATTACCCTCTTTGACAGTATAAATTTCAACTAGTTTTCGTATCCAATTGACACTTGAGAACAATGCAAGTGTCAAACAATGTGTCAAAAATCAGTGTACAAATAGCAAAGTTCTGTTGGTTAGAAACATGCTACATATACACTGTAGTGTACACTTTAGTTCACACTTTGCCACGTGACATTACCCTGTTAGACAGTTTAAATTTCAAACTATTTTCCCATCCTATTGACACTTAACAACAATGCAAGTGTTAAACAATGTGTCAAAATTAGTGTACAAATAGAAAAGTTAAATTGGTAAGGACCGTGCTACAGGTACATTATGGTGTACACTTTAGTTTATACTTTGCCACGTGACATTATCCTATTGGACAGTTTAAATTTCAAACAGTTTTCCCATCTAATTGACACCAGACAACAATAAAAGTGTCAAACAAAGTGTCAAAAATCAGTGTATAAATAGCAAAGTTCAATCGGTAAGAACCTTGCTGCATGTACACTATGGTGTACACTTTAGTTTATACTTTGCCACGTGACATTAGCCCATTGGACAGTGTTAATTTCAAACAGTTTTTCCATCCAGTTGACACTTGACAATAATGCAAGTGTTAAACAACGTGTTAAAAATCAGTGTACAAATAGCAAAGTTCAATCGATAAGAACCTTGCTACATGTACACTATGGTGTACACACTTTAGTTTACATATTGTCATGTGACGTTACACTGTTAGACAGTTTAAATTTAAAACTATTTTCCCATATAATTGACACTTGACAACAATGCAAATGTCAAACAACGTATCAAAAATCAAAGCACAAATGGCAAAGTTCAATCGGTAATAAAACCATGCAACATGTACACTATGGTGTACACTATAGTTTACACTTTGCCACCTGACATCACCCTGTGGGATAGTTTAAATTTCAAATAGTTTTCCTATCCAATTGAGACTTGACAACAATGTAAGTGTCAAACAACGTGTCAAAAATCAAT